AATCAGAATCAGTGGAAATGGAAAGAAAATTACTGAAAACCATGAACCCCGATGCTTGTACTTTTAACGCATCGTTCAATGCACCATCAACTCAAGGAGGCAAGTAAACCATGCAACCCCCCCCCCTTTTTTTTTTTTTCTTTTGTTATTTCACTTTCTATTTTTTTTCAAGTAAACCATGCAACCACCTCCCTTTTTTCTTTTCTTTTTTCTTTTGTTATTTCACTTTCTATTTTTTTTCTTTTTTATTATCATTATGATAAAAATTAAATTGGATCTAAAAACTAATTTTGAAAAACACACAACAAAATTAAGGATAAGAAACGGGTTATGGAAACATTATATAGTTTTTTTAAAAAAATAAATAGAACTGCTAAATAATTTAATTAAGATCTATCCAAGTTGAGAGCTAAAATTGTTATAATAAAATAACAAAATAATTGAGGTTAGTTAATTTTAATATATTTAATATTAATAAATATGTAATTAAATTTTTGAAATTTTGGAAGGATGGATTTGGAATTTGAGATTGTGATCTATGGATGTGACAGTAGCGAGGATCTTTCCACTTTATTGGTTCCCCTCCCCACTCCTTTTGCACCTATGGATGGAAACAAGTATCTTTAAGATTTCTCATTTATCTTTTGTGTTTTAGAATCATTTTCATAATGTAAATTTACCATTTTCTACAATACCAGCCGGATCTTTTCTTTCTTTCTTTTTAATGGAAAAGGAAACATCTAGATATTTTCAATGTTTTTCTAGAAAAAAAATTAAATTATATAAAAATTAATATAATATAACTTGATTTATTTAACATAATTTAACTAAAAAAATATATCAAAAATTAAAAAAAAATACTATTACAATAAATAATATTTTGCGAGTAGGTGTATTGTACAAGTATCATCTTTTTTTGTTTTTTTAATTGGTTTATTCATCCACACTCATTGTGGGTTAAACTATTTAAAAAAATAAAAAATTGAAGAAATTGAAGAAATTTTTTTTAACATTATCATTAAACCCGACACACCAAATAATTAATAATAATATGGTTTGGGTTTTTAAAAAAATAAAAATGGCTAAAAACACTATAAAAAGCAAATGAAAAACAATTAATCCTATAAAAATCAAATAAAATATGTCATGAAGAACAATTCAAAATAAATTAAATATTTTAAAAAAATTTGCATTGCATCTTTTTTAAAAAACAATTGACATGACAATATTTTTGATCGACCAAGGTTTCACAGCTTAACTTATAAAGCTGTGATTCTAGTCATGAAATCCAACAAGTTTATTTTAAAAAAAAAAATTATTTACCTAATTATAGGATAAAAAATAGGATTTTTTTATTTTTAAAAAGATAAAGAATGAAGATGGAAGAAAAAAAACAAAGGAATAGAAAATCTACAAAATGACCTAGAACAATATTGACATGGATGACATAATGAAGTAGCCTAGGACAACCCAAGTTAACATGCTACACCTAAAATCTAGATCATAAGATCATGATAATCATGCAAAAATTAAATTTTAACAAATTAATACCACATATATATAAATACATTACAAAGACAAATTCAAAATAAAGTAAATGCTTAAAAAAAAACTCAGCAAAACATATATTTTAAAACATATATTTACAAAATAAAATATTAAATCGACTTGAACTTTGCGGATTAATCCATCAAACCTATAATCTAAGTTATAGATTCAACTATATATTATGATTTTTTTATTAAATTTATTTTTTATCTAAATATAAAATATTTTAAAAAAAATAACAAGAAAATACTAAAAGAAGTCTAGACTCATGGGTTTGGCTTTCTAGCCAAACCCATATACGAGAGCCTTGTTTTATATTTTTTATTTTTTTAAAAATAAACCGATGTGCTGTATGCAAAATCTGGAAGTTAGATGGTAGCCAAATCAGTCATTCTGCTTTTTTCCCCACTAAAAACTCTATTTCAACTTGTTTATGAATCAAAACATCTCAAAAACACCATAAATATCTTGATAAATATATTTATAGTTTTAAAGAACATAAAAAATACCTCACAAATCCGAAATAAAACCAAGTCTCTAAATCTTTTCACTGGAAGATATACTTTCTTAGGAAAGAGAAACAATAACATCTATGTGAAATTCTCCTTATCAAATGAATATCAAAATTAACTATTTTGATAATTAAAATCGGTATTAGTGATGATTTTTTTTTAAAATGGAATATAATGACCCTCTATCTCCTCACAATAAAAAAAAACTAAAAAATAAGAGAAATAAAATTTGGTGCAAAAATCACATTTATAACAACTAAAAAGACCAATCATTTATTAATTAAAAAGTATAGGACCAAAGTGAACTTGACTTACTAAATCACCACTTATTTTACTTACCTTTTTCATTTCATTCCTTTCTTTTAATATCACTTTTCCTTAATACGTCAAAAGCAATTAAGCTTCAATTTATGTTATATAAGATTAAAATATCATAAATTAAAAAAAATTAAAATATTTTTTTTCAAGAAGAATCCAAAATATAACAGACAAGATATAATTAATTATTTTCTAAGTAATATAAGATTTTTCAAAGTGGACGGTCGGGAAATGTTTCATTTAGGTTTCTTTCCACCGCTTGTACAGAAAAACAGGGAACAAATTCATGTTCATTGTCACATCAAGAAGTTATAATAATTATTTAAAATATTTTAAAAAATAAGTGCGGACGAAAAGTACTAAAATGGGAGGAAGTTTGTTGAGTGTATGCCGAGCTTCATCAAGAGTTAATAAAGAAGGTTATAATATTTGGGTGGTTAGAGATGCTTCTTTAAACATTCACTAGCAGCTTGATTATTATATACTCGATGATTATTATATGCGGTTGTTCATGTTTCTAAACAAGCAAATATATTACCTTACCATGTTTATTAAATGTCTGTTTGAAGCTTCTGTTGTTGTAAAGGGTTATTAGTCTATGAATCGATGAATATTATTTTCTTTATTATATATAATGTTGTTTTGAAATGTAATAATAGTTATTCTAACATGTAATAATGTTGTTTTAATGTTGGAGATGTATCTTACTAGTTAAAGCACTGTATTAATAATTAATTTTTAAAAATCTTGAAATAAAATTAAAAAATCATGAGAAATAAATGAAGATTTTGGAAAAGAGGGGCATTGCAAAAGTTGTACTACCGACATAGAAACTCATTTTGTTTCATTTGTCATTGTGTTGTGTTCGTGTTTTTCTTTTTTATTTATTTTCTGGATTTTAGAATATGTTTGCTGTAGGTTTTTCGTTTTTTTTTAATGTATTGAGAAGTATTCTCATCATTATATGTGGAAAAGAAGTCATTCAATAAAGTTCATTATAAAATGATAGTCATTAAAACAATTAGATTTTACAATATGAATTTGTTTCGGATATATACCACTTATTTTAATCAAATTTTCTTTCGAATATATACCACTTATTTTAAGAAAAATATCCAATATATATATATATCAGGAGAAGATAAGAAATTCTCAGACACATTCACTGGCAATAAAAAGAAAGTGGTTTAATTTGGGTAAAGTTTAATATTAAACAAGCTAAAAAAATTAATTAAAAAGAAAAAAAAACATTAAAAAACGATATCTTTTCGTCTCATTCATTGCAAACAAAATAAAGGAGGTTGAATTGCTGATTCATGACTCAAGCATCCATGGTCATGGCTACAAGTTAAATTTATTTTTAATATTAATGTATTCAAACGATTTAAAAATAGAAAAATAAATTAAAATTCTAAAAAATAAAATTTAATTTTCTTAAAAAATACAACGGAATCAAAATGACTGAGACTTTGAAGTTGTGCACGATTTCCAATGAATGAGCTGAATATTATTGGATCTATTTTGACTGTGTAGTCGCAAAGGGTGAGAAAGACCCCTTCCTTGTACGTATGCAAGAAAGCGGAGAAGATACATCGGCTGACGTTGTCTCATGTCCAGCTGGCAAGAGGAAGAGGATATTAATTAAGAAGGGGCTCGAGGCGCCAGGAGGAGGAGCTGGCGGTCGATAATCAGTGTGCTCAATGGCATGTTTACCGCTGGCCCAGCCCACAGTCTTCGTCTTTTGCCACCTAGTTGGCAACGAAAACTCGGGACAAAGTTGTGCGAAGTGTCATGCCTGTTGGATTGTGTGCATCTCTGCGCTCAATTTTTATGTTCATGAACATGTTGTTCTTCAGAATGACAGCTAGTGCTCTGCCAGCTGCAATCTTTGGTAAGCTGTCAAGGACTCGTGTTGTTTGTTCATATTTCGTGATATGGCTGTTTTTCTTAATTTTAAAATATATTAATTTTTTTTTATTTTTTATATAAACCCACCAAAACAATTTAAAAATATTTAAAATTATTATTTTTATAGTTTTAAGTCACCATAGTTGCATTACAGCCGGCACTTAAATTTTGATTTTGATTTTTATATTTTTAGATTATTTTTATGTGTTCATGTTAAAAATAATTTTTTAAAAATAAAAAAAAATATTTTAATATATTTTTAAAT